CTGTAGGATCGAGGAGACCAGTGAACTCATGCCATGACTACATTCCCCACCCAACTCTGGGCCAATGTAGTTGTCTCATCAGATTGGAAGGGGAGATAATCCTCTCTCTCTCTCTCTCTCTCTCTCTCTCTCTCTCTCTATTTTTATTTCATGTGCATTCATGCATTCATATTTTGTGTGCATGTATGTCTGTGTGAAGGTGTTGAATCCCTCGAGACTGGAGTTACAGGCAGTTAGAAGCTGCCATATGGGTGCTGGGAATTGAACTTGGGTCCTCTGGAAGAGCACCCAGTGCTCTTGACTGCTGAGCCATCTCTCCAGCCCGAGATAATGCTCTCTTGACAGATGAATTGGCCTCATGGTATCCCATCACCCTAAATCATGCTGATAGATATCACGGGGAAGGAAATGCAAATTATTAGTCTCGAGATTGATACATTCTTGATATTGGTCACACCTGGCAGCACACACCTATAATCCCCACACTGGGGAGGCTGAGATGGGAGGATCACAAATTCAAGGGCAGAGTGGGCTACATACTGAGTTCCAGGCAAGGTCTTCAGACCATCAGTGCCGTGTTTGTCCCCTGGTCCAGCAGTGTCAAACCCGTTAAAAGTGTAAATCCCACTCCACAACCAATAAATGAGAAACTTTAAGGGTGGGACTAGCCCTTTGGGGGTCTTACACGCCCTGTGGATGATCCTGACTTTGACAGATGTTGGAGCCACCTGGGGACATGGAGTCCATGCCAAGGGTACTGGAGATTGGACTCAGAGACTTCCACATGCTAAGCATGTCCTCTACCGCTGAGAGCAGCTGAGTTCCCAGGCAGAGGTTTTGGAGGCTCCATTGGTGGTTCTGTAATGTGCAGTGTAGCTTTTTTACTCAAAGGATAGTTCTTGAATAATGGTGTTAATATCATCAGGGAGCTTGGAAGAAATGCACACAGCCATTCTCACTCCAGCCCCGCTGAAGCAAAATATATATTAACCATATCTCTGGTGGCTCCTCTGCACCTTGAAGAAGCAGCAGCCTATCCTGCATTAGTGAGGAACAGGGATCATTGCATTTACTTGTTCCTGTCCAATAGATGAGCCAAAGAATCAGAGCTTAGCTCTCCAGCCATTCTTAGCATCGTCTGATGTTCAGTGGCAACAGCCAAGACATTATCTACTCAAAGTTTGCTGTGTGGCTAACTGTTCCCTCAATGACTATAAGCACATACTTACACATTGCCTCATGTCTGCATGTGTGTGCGCACATATGATGCACATGTGGAAAGCTTTCAGGAGCTGTTTCTCTCCTACCACATGGGTGGGTTCTGGGCAACAAACTTAGGTCATCAGGCTTGGCAGCAACCCCCTGAGCCATCTTGCTACCTTCCTTTCTCTTTTAAAGATAGCCTCACTGTGTCTGTGGCCAAGGATGACCTTGGACTCCTGATCCTTTGACTCCCTCTTGAGTGCTGGCTCAGGTGTGAGCCACCCTGCCAGGATTATAGGTGCTGGAGCTCAGATTCAGGCTTTGTGCCTGCTGGGTAAGAACTCTTCCAAACCTCGGCCAGCTCGTATTCCTCTTTGTTACCTTGGAAGGTACTGAGCACTGTTCCGAGAGCTGGACTGTTACAGCTCAGCTCTTAGGGTTGAAGAGATGGGTTAGCAGTCACGAGGGCATACGGCTCTGCTCCAGAGGACCAGTTTGGTTCAGCACCAGGTATCAAAAACCTGTAACTCTAATTCCAAGAGAATCCCATGCCTCTAGCAAGCTTCCTGGACGCCTGTTCTCACATGTATATCCCCACACAATGCACAAAATTAAAAATATAAAAATCTCAACAAAACAAAATGATTTTGAGTTCACTTGAATCTTTGAAATATATACCATATGAAACTCTTAAGCAGATCTAACCCTACACAGTGAAATGCATGGTGGTCATTTAAACAGATAACTGAATTCATTGCTGTTTTCAGGCAGCTAGGTTGAGGCAGAACATAGCCAGATGTGGTGGCACATGCCTTTAATCCCAGCACTTGGGAGGCAGAGGCAGGCGGATCTCTGAGTTCGAGGCCAGCCTATCTACATGATAAGTTCCAGGACAGCTAAGGGGTCTGTAGAAAGATCTTACCTCAAAAACCTAAAAAAAAAAAAAAAAAAAAAAAAGAAAGAAAGAAAAAGTTATTTAGAATTCATGACTTCTCTCCTTGTGACTCCACTCCTCTTTTCCTTCTTTTAGAGGCTCCTGCTGGAGTTGAGTCCAAGGTCTCCTAGCACTAAGTGCTCATTCTCCCACCTCCTATAGATGAAATGTTTCAGAATTTGTTGTGGGGTGGGGGCCTTAGTGCATTGTGGAGAACTCACCTCGCATGTGCGAGGCCCTGGGTGCCATCTCCAGCAAACTCTGCTGGAAAAAAAAAAAAGAATTGGTTGTGTTCATTTGTTCTAGCTTCTTCTTGAGAACTCAAAGAACATGTTTACTGGTTCTTCTTTCACTAAGGTTCTATCGTGCACTTGGATCTTTCCATAGCTTCGTTTCCAATGTGTTGATTCCTTTCTCCTTTTGCTTTTTCTCCTGTGCCTTTTCCGTTCCAGCTCTACTTCACCCCCTTGCCCCTGTCCTGCTTCCCCTTCACCTGTCCCTCTGTCTCTTCCCACAGTCTCCTTTCTCTTCCTTCCCTGAGCCAGTGCCTTCATTTACTGTTTTTATTGGTAAATGCCACTTTTCTCAGTCTTAAGGCCCTGCTCTGTGTGTGAATGAAAGACTTCTCTGCTTTACAGAAGCGGCTTCATGCTCTGTGTGAACAACTTCCTGCATGATTGTTTTAGCCACACACACACACACATGCACACACACATGCATGCACACGCACATGCATGCACACGCACATGCATGCATACACACATGCATGCACACACACATGCACGCACACATGTGCACACACACATGTGCACACACACGGCCTCTCTGAACCAAAGAAGCCAGCCCTGCTTATCCCGGTTCCCAAACACTGTGGTACTGAAGTGAGTCTGAACGTTGAGGAGGTGACTTTCTGCCCGAGCTTCCTGAAGTCCCTGTCACCTGCTTCCTTTTAATCCTGTTCTCACTTCCTCAGGGTGCCCAGTCTCGTAGGTTTTACCCTCACGTCTGTTTCCATTGCAATATATGTGGTCACTGTAGTTTTCACCGTGGGTCTTTTTCCTTACTACCCACAAAGAGCTGGCTCCTACCTCAGTGTGATCTCTTTAGTGCTAGGGCTTAAGCCTAGAGTTGTGTGTATTAAGCTAATGCCCTAGCTCTGAGTTGTGCCCAAGCCACTAACTATTGTCTTTCTAAAAAATACTATCAGAGCTGAGCAGTGGTGGCTTACCCCTTTGATCCTGGCACTCTGGAGACGGAGGCAGGTAGATCTCTGTGGGTTCGAGGCCAGCCTGGTCTACAGGACCAGGACAAGTTCCAGGACAGCCAAAGCTACATTGAGAAATCCTGTCTTGAAAAACCTAAATAAATCGCTGAACATAGCGGACAATGAGGACTACTGAGAACTCAAGAATAATGGCAGTGGGTTTTTGATCCTACTGCACGTACTGGCTTTGTGGGAGCCTAGGCAGTTTGGATGCTCACCTTACTAGACCTGGATGGAGGTGGGTGGTCCTTGGACTTCCCACTGGGCAGGGAACCCTGATAGCTCTGTGGGCTGACAAGAGAGGGGAACTTGATTGGGGGAGGGGGAGGGAAATGGGAGGAGGTGGCAGGGAAGAGACAGAAATCTTTAATAAATAAATAAACGGGGAAAAAAAAGAAAAACCTAAATAAATAAATAAATAAATAAGGGGGCTGAGCTTGGTGCAGGCCTTTAATCCTAGCACTTGGGAGGCAGAGGATCTCTGTGAGTTCAAGGCCAGCCTAGTCTACAGAGGGCATTCAGGAGAGCAAGGGCTACAGAGAAACCCTGTCTCTAAAATCAAGACAAAACAGAAAAGAAAGAAAGAAGTGGCACTGGAGAGATGACTCAGTGATTAAGAGCATTTGCTGCTTTTGTAGAGACTGGGGTTCAATTTCCAGCACCCGCATGGCGTGGCTCACAACTCCCTGTAACTCTAGTTTTAGAGGATCTGATACCCTCTTCTGGGCTCCACAGGCACCTCAGTGTACATAGTATGCATAAACTTGTCAGGCACGCACATACATTTACAATTTTTTATTATTTATTTTTATTATTTGTGTATGTTATAACATGTATGAAGGTCAGAGGACAACTTTGCAGAGTAGACTCTCCCCTCCCTTTACATGGGTATATCTAGACAGACAGACAGACAGACAGATAGATAGGTATAGATTTAGATATAATGCAGGAGGCCCTGGGATTCTATCCCTGGCACTATACAAACCACCAGGCAGATCTATAATCTCCAGCACGTCTGAAGAGGTGGAAGCAGGGAGATCAGAGTTCAAAGTCATCCTCTGCCTTAGCCCTATCTTGGCCACTTATGGACTTTGTCATCTCAAAAGAACAATAAGAACAACAGAGTAAAATCTTTGCTCTTTCTTCCAGCTTTCTTGGAAAGTGAAATAAAAGCAGAGCTAGCACCCAGATGCCACCTAACAGAGGCATGCCTGAGTGTGGGAATTTGCACATATAGGCTCTCAGTCACAGGGTTGGTCACCTCACCTTAAGTAGCTGTTTATTAGTCTGAATAATAGAAATGTGGCTAGACCTCACATGGCCATTTTACTACCAACTAAGCCATCTCCCAGCCCTCTTTACTTTCATTTAAAAGGGTGCATGTGTGTTGTGTTATGTGTGGAGGCTGGAGGACAACTTGCTGGAGTTGGTCCTCCTTCCACGGTGTGGGTCCCAGATATCAAAACTCAGCTCATCAGACTTGGCGGCCAGCACCGTTGAGCCAGTCTGCTGCCCCTGCCCTTTAACTTTCTTCTTTGGCTTCTTTTTCTCATTATCATGGAAAACTGACCGGATATTGTGTGTTTTCCTTTATTTCAGACTTTGAGATACAGAGTGAGAACGGAGAAAACTCAAGTCAAGACATGTTTGAGGATGTGGAATCACAGGGGATGTTCTTGAAAATACCCAGAGGGGAAGGTGGTCAGCAATCCGATGGGGAGAGCGATTTTGAGAGGGACTATGGTTCTGGGGGCGCCCAGGGAAATGCCCCCAGCGAGGACCACAGGGACGTACCTTCCCGAGGAAGGGAAGTTGGCCAGCTCATAGGCCTCCAGGGCACCTACCTGGGTGAGAAGCCTTATGAATGCCCTCAGTGCGGGAAAACTTTCAGCCGGAAATCCCACCTCATCACCCACGAGCGGACCCACACAGGGGAGAAATACTATAAGTGTGAAGAATGCGGGAAGAGCTTCAGCGATGGTTCAAACTTCAGCAGGCACCAAACTACACACACCGGAGAGAAGCCTTACAAATGCAGGGACTGCGGGAAGAGCTTTAGCCGGAGTGCAAACCTGATCACCCACCAGAGGATCCACACGGGCGAGAAGCCTTTCCAGTGTGCCGAGTGTGGCAAGAGCTTCAGCCGGAGCCCCAACCTCATCGCACACCAGCGCACGCACACGGGCGAAAAGCCGTACTCGTGCCCCGAGTGTGGGAAGAGCTTTGGCAACCGGTCCAGCCTTAATACTCACCAGGGAATCCACACCGGAGAGAAACCCTATGCGTGTAAGGAATGCGGTGAAAGCTTCAGTTACAACTCCAACCTGATCCGACACCAGAGAATCCACACCGGAGAGAAACCGTACAAATGCACCGACTGCGGCCAGAGGTTCAGCCAGAGCTCCGCGCTCATCACCCACCGGAGAACGCACACAGGAGAAAAACCCTATCGGTGCAGCGAGTGCGGCAAAAGCTTCAGCCGCAGCTCCAACCTGGCCACGCACCGGCGAACGCACATGGTGGAAAAGCCCTACAAGTGTGGGGTGTGTGCGAAGAGCTTCAGCCAGAGCTCCAGCCTGATCGCGCACCAGGGCGTGCACACGGGCGAGAAGCCCTATGAGTGCCTTACGTGCGGGGAGAGCTTCAGCTGGAGTTCCAACCTCATCAAGCACCAGCGCATCCACACCGGGGAGAAGCCCTACAAATGCGGCGACTGCGGGAAGGGCTTCAGCCAGCGCTCGCAGCTGGTGGTGCACCAGCGGACGCACACGGGTGAGAAGCCCTATACGTGCCCCATGTGCGGCAAGCGCTTCAGCCGGGGCTCCATTCTGGTGATGCACCAAAGAGCCCACTTGGGAGATAAGCCGTACAGGTGTCCTGAGTGCGGGAAAGGCTTCAGCTGGAATTCCGTGCTCATTATACACCAGCGAATTCACACCGGAGAGAAGCCCTACAAATGCCCCGACTGTGGCAAGGGCTTCAGCAATAGCTCCAACTTCATTACACACCAGAGGACTCACCTGAAAGAGAAAATTTACTGAAGTGCAGGAAAGTGGAGGATGCTGGAGCTGACTCTGAGCTTTCCCCAGTGCCCTCAATGTTGTCCCTTTTAAAAGCCGTTTTTCCTAAATGCCCGGTGGGAGTTCTTGCCAGAACCTTACCGTTTGTCCTCATTTCTAGGTATTTGTTATGTTAGAGTCCTGTGCAGTTCCAGAATGGAGTATGGGAGCGGAAGGTTGTAGGTGGGGTCTTTATATTTCATGATTTGATTGCCCCCCTTTACTTTCCTCTGTGCTTCTGTTCCCTTGAAATGGGGAGCTAGTTCTCCATATGGGATGACAGTTTGTCTGCATCCAAGCTGAGCCCTGCAGGAAATACTGGACCCTATTGTGTGCTTCTGATTGTTGGCTATCACCTTGTCCTTGTAGGTGCCTTTACCCTAAGCTGCCAGCATTGCAGGCTCCCCTCCCCTTGTCAGGCTCCCCTCCTACTGGCTTTGTGTCAGGTCAGGACGATGGCTGTCCAATTCAGAATCATCTGTGTACGGGCATAGTTTCAGAAAGTGTCCAGAACACAGTTTGGGCAAGTATGGCCTGGAACTGATGTCCCAGCGGGTAAGAGGGACAGTGACTGCCAGGAAATGTGTCCACTTAGATTCGTGTGCCTGCTTTTGTGTCTGCACAGTCCTATGTCAAATTGGCTGTGGGCGCACACTCAGACACTTAGAGTTTGTGTTTGGAGCTTGACACCTGACCTCCGGCTGTGTGCTGTGACCCACATAAGCATCTCTGAGTCACTCTGTGTACTTGTGTACTTGTCTGCTCCCTGGCCATAGTTTACATACACATACACAGTTTTTAGAGACAGGGTCCCATTTAGCTCAGGCTGACCTTGAAATTATGATGTATTTGAGGATGACCTTGATCCTCCTGCTGCCACCTCCTGAGTGCTGGAATTACCAGTGTGTGCCTCCGCGTTCAGTTTATGCATACCAGACCATCACTACTGAGTTACAGCTCAGCCCCTTACAGCTTTCATTTTGTGTGTGTGTGTGTAAGTGTATGTTGATGTGTGTGCAGGTCCTTGTGGAGACCAGTGGCTTAGCCTCCAGTGTCATCCCTAAGAAGCTGTCCACCTTGTTTTTTTTAAGACAGTTTCTCACTAGGATCTGGGACACTGCTTAGGCTAAGCTCCTGGCAGGACAGCCCCAGGAACTGCCTCCCAGTGCCAGGGTTACGGGCGTGTGCACCACACATGGCTTTCAGCATGTGTGCCGGGATTGAACTGTGGTCCTCATGCTTTCACAACATGTGAAAGCTTTACCACCTGAGCAGTCTCTCCTGCTCCAGCATACTTCTGGCTTCATGTATGTGGACTAGAATACGGCCCTGCAGGCTTTGTGTACCAAGGGCATTCTTTTTAAGGAACTGTGTGTTTTGAGGGTATCAGAAATATGGTGGAGGCAACAAGATGTCTCAGTGGTTAAGATCTCCTGCTGCTCTTCCAGAGGACCCTGGTTCAATTCCAGCACCTGCCCAGTGACCCACAACCACGTGACACTCCAGTTCTGGGGGATCTGATGCCATCTTCTGATTCCCCATGGGCATTATATGTACACGGTGCACATACATACGTGCAGGCAAACATCCATACACATAAAAATAAGTCCTTCAAAAAGAGAGAACCCCTGGTGAAGATTGATTATGAATCAGGAGTTTGCCCTGCAATTCACAGTTAGTTCACACTTAAAGCTGCTACCACAGGGCTTTATTCTTAGGATCCCAACCTGTGAAAAGTGAGGACAGGGGTGTTAACTGGAGAAGGGAGTTGTGATGAGGAAACAGAGACTGGGTACAGCATTTCTGAGAGATGTGAAGCCAGCACCTCTTACATAAGAGGCATCAAGGACATTTTTTAAAAGATGGATGTTGATCCAGGCGGTAATGGTGCGGCACTCAGGAGGCAGAGGCAGGCACATCTCTGTGAGTTCAACGCCAGCCTGGTCTACAAGAGCTAGTTCCAGGACAGGCTCGAAAGCTCCAGAGAAACCCTGTCTCAAAAAAAAAAAAAAATGCATGTTGCATATTGCCAAGTGGAGTCCCATTCTTTCCCTGACTCTGCCTTTTTTTATTCCTTTAAATAGAGCTGAATTATCTAGTTCAGTCTGGCCTAGAATTTGTAAGCCTCCTGCAGTGTCCTCTTGAGTGCTGGGATTACTTGCCTGGATTACTATGCCCAGCTCTTGAGTCTTATCTTTTAATGTGTGTTAAAAGCTTGAACTTGACCAGGCATAGTGGTGCACGCCTTTAGTACCAGCACTCAGGAGGCAGAGGCAGGCAGATCTCTGAGTTCAAGACCAGCCTGATCTACATAATGAGTTCTAGGACAGCCAGAATTACATAGTGAGACCCAGTTTCAGAAAAAAAGAAAAAGAACTTGACCTCCACTGTTTGCAAACCTGTACCTCACTTCCATATCACACCTATCTCCTGCCCCAGGCTGAAAGTGGCCCGAGACTTTGAGGAAGAAAGAGCTAGCGGTCTCAAAGAACCTACCATTGGATTAGATACCCACCGCGGCTATGTGTGAGCCAGACATCATGTTTGTCACCCAAGCCAGGCGCGGTGACTTGATCTTATAAACCCAGCACTTGGAAGGCAGAGGTAGAAAGATCACAAGTTTGAAGCCAGTCTGAGCTATACAGATCCAGGCCAGCCAACTACCTGTCACTCAAGATTTGACCTGCACACTGGGGAGTGAGATGGTCTTGAGACCATCTATTAGGAATCAGACAATGAGGATGTTCTCAGCAGTGATGGTGGTAGACTGAAACCAAGTAGGTTGTAGGAGCCATCAGTGATTCTGTCCCTTTGCCTGTTTGGTAAGCAATCATTGAATGCTATTTACCATCACTGTGCTAGATAGTAGGGGAAACTATAAACTCCTATGAGGTGTCAAATAACAGATACTTGAATCTGTCCAGGGAGGTGCAAGAGCTGCCTGCCAGGAAGGGAGCATTCCCACGTAGCCCATGCTGGTCTTAAACTCCAGGTGTAGCCAAGGATGATCTTGAACTTCTGAGTCTCGTGGCTTAATTTCCCAAGTGCTGGGTTACAAGCATGCACCAACGTAGCCAACCTCAGAGTTTCATTATCAAAGGAATCTGTGACTGTTTTTTCTTTTCTGTCTTGTTTTTAAATGTTCATACCTGTCCTAGGATTACAAACTCTTTTCAGGACCCAGCTCAGCATGCGATACCAACTCTATAACCACTTCCTAGTTGGCTCTCTTCATAGAGATATTTGCAAATTCAAGAGGCAGATGGAGCCCCAAATTTAGAAAATGGATTGGGTTCCTTAGATTGTCCTTTGATAAGATGATGACCATGTCAGAGCCGGTCAGTACTTACCTGTATAAATCACACAGCTGACAATATCTGTAGAAATCAACAAACATCCCCGTGAAGCAACTAATATATTTGAAATGTCACATATAGTCAAAAGTCAGTTGGAAACCAGGTATCTCTTATTTTAAAGGTTTCTTTCTTTTACATTATTTAGTTGTATTTTATGTGTATAAATATTCCCCCTGCATGTACGTCTGTGCACCATGTTTGTGCAGTGCCCTTAGAGGCCAGCAGAGGGTTCAGATCTCCTGGACCTGTAGTTATGGACACTTGTGAGCCATCCATATGGCTCACAAACCCAGACCTTCTGAAAGAACAGCAAGGGCTGAGCCATCTCTAGAGCCTCTTTAAGGGTGTGTGTGTGTGTGTGTGTGTGTGTGTGTGTGTACCACATATGTGCAGGTGTCTGAGGAGGCCAGAAGAGGGTGTCAGATCCCCTGGAGCTGGAGGTGTTAACAAGTAGTGGTGAGCTGCCCCCGTGCGCATGTTGACAACCAAACTTGGGTCCTCTGGAAGAGCAGCAAGCACTCTGCTGCCCACCATCATCTTTATTGAAGCTGATTCTGTAGTTTGAAATCTGGATCCGCCCCCCCCCACACACACTGCCACACTCCTGTTTGGATAAAAAGTGAAACTTAAGAGATTATATATTACTTTTACGCTTATTTTTGGTTTTTTAAAATTTGAGACAGGGGTTCTCTAGAGTATCCAGAACTTACCGAGTGAAGCTCTCGATATAAAGGAGATTTATTAGAATGACTCTGAGGCTGTGGTCCGACTAACCAACAGTGCGGCCTATGAGTGGAACGTCCAAGAATCCAGTAGTTTAGGCTGCATGTCTCAGATGGTCTTCGGAATGTGCTGGAATCCTGAAGAAGTGGGCTCTAAGGCCAGTGCAGGAATGGACTTGCTGGCAAGGGTGAGAGGGAGCAGGCAAAGAGAAAAGCCGCTCTTCCAGCAGAAGCGGTAGCTCCAATTAGAGGGGTCTTCCCACCTCAAAAGATCTGGATTAAAAGTACATCTTCCCACCTCAAAGATCCAGGCTAGAAATGGATCTTCCTACATCATATGATTTAAGCAAAAATCCCACACAGGTATGCCCAGCCATTTTTGGGTTTTTTAGTTAATTCCAGATATAGTCAAGTCGATAACCAAGAACAGCCCTCACAGAAGGGTCTTGCTATGCAGCTATGTCTGGCCTCATACTTAACAGTGATCCTCCTGCCTCTGCGTCCCAAGTACTGAGACTACAGTTTTTTTGTGCCACCATGCCAAGCCACTCTCACACAGTAAGCCAGAATATAATTATATCCTGAGACAGTTCCCTTATTTTGAAGATGTTACTGAAATATGGCAGATGAGTACATTAAAGCGTATAGCTCATTCCAGTTTCACAAGCTGCACACACCTCTATAGGTGGCACCCACTTATTCCAGTTTCACAAGCTGCACACACCTCTATAGGTGGCACCCACTTATTCCAGTTTCACAAGCTGCACACACCTCTGTACCTGGCACCCAGATCCAGACACAGCGCAGCTGCAGCTCTCCGATGTGCCACTCTGCACCTGTGGGTAGAGCGTGGGAAGCTCATCAGACCTGGCTCTAGACAGAGGTTGTATTGCACACTTCTGATTTTACTATTTTACAGTCGAGTCAGTCTGTAATGATGGTTTGAGACATACTATAATATCTTAGCATGACCAAAGGGTGCAGGGCAGTGACAGACGAGTGTCTGTGTAAGCTCCTACTGATCTCTCGTTCCCTGACAACTTTCTGAGGTAAGTACCTCACTCCAGGACAGTGAAGACTTGGGGTGCCTGGTAAGTCCGTTACTAGCACCTGCTAATCACACCCCTGGGGTCACTTAGCTACCTTGTAATAGTTTCTTGTAAACGTTCATTTTTATTTCTGTTTCTATGAGGCAGGGTCTGGGAGAATAGCCCAGGCTAGCCTCAGTTTTGTAGATCTGCCTCATCTTTTCTGGTGCTGGATTACATACACTGGGCATTCACATTATTATGAAGGCCATAAGGAAGGGAATGGTGACTCAAAGCCATGACCTCAGCATTAGGAGATGAAGACCACCCTAGCCACATGCCAACTTTTAGGTTAATCTGTGCTACATGACAGAAATGTCACAGGCAGGGAACGGCTCAGTGGGTAAAGGAGATGGCCACCAAGCCTGACGACCTGACTTCAGCTCCTGAGTCCTACAGAAAAAGCAGAGTGTTGGCTCCCAGAAGCTGTCCTGACTTCTGTTCTGCATCCTTGCACTCATTCCCTGCCCCCCACAGAATTTTTTTTAAGTCTCAAGCAAAACAAAGCACAAGACGCACTAAGAATAACGAATGGATGAAAGAACAGATATCTAATAAAAACAACACATTTTCCTCTTTCCCCTTTCCTCTTTTCCTCTTTCCCCTAGTCAGTAGCAGGGCTGTCACAATCATAACTGGTTAGTCCTTCCATGTAGCAAATCATTTGTCCTGGCCCTTTATCCCGTTTGGGGCGGAGGTCTCTACCTCATAACCAGGAAGCTCCCCAGGAACTGCTGCCTTGTTCCACCCTCTGTCTCTCAGATGGCCATGGGAATGTCTACATGGAGGGTTCTATTAGGCTTTAAAAAGTTTGTTTTTCATTTTTTCACTCCAGACAAAATCACCCAAAGCCACGGAGGAAATGGATATAAAACTTTGTGAGGGACCGATGGAGAGACAGAAATCAGTTCCCTTTGGTTTTCCACATTTCATACCCCAGGCAGTGGCCCCAGAGCCCACTTGTCCTTGGAGTCCTCTCAGCGGCCCGCAAGCGCCTAAACTCTGGGTGTGTAACGCGTGTAACACCTGCTTGAAGCAGCGCTGGGAGAAACGCTACTGGGTGAAAGGTCTCACTCCAGTAGACAATGTGCCCAGTCCTTCAGTTTGGTGATATAAAACCTGTCCAAGGAGAGGTGGGCAGTCAAACTGTCTCCTGGCCTAGGCCTTTGTTAAACAGTTCCGGTCCCTAAGGCAACTCTGGAGCTCCAGGGGATAGTTTGGAAGCTAGCTGTGTGCTGGCCTGGGTTCCCACCTGTCTGTTCTCACCTCTCCACAGCTGACCTTCCCATGCTGAGTCACACCTGGAGTTTTAGAATTTTCACCTGGTAAATAGGGCAAGGGACCAGGAATAAAGCCCAGCGTCAGGGCATGTGATTAGCATCGGTCAGGTACTAGGTTTGGTCCTTAACATCAAAACTGAAAAACACAACAATAATTTTTTATTTTAGAAGCAGGGGCTTACTGGGTAGCCCAGACTGACCAGAAGTCTCCATTCTCCTGCCTCCCCCTGAGTGCTGGGATTACAGATACCCATGGCAGCCTCAAAAACCCAAGATAAAAAAATTAAGTGCTAAACGCCTTCCTGCCCCATTTCCTTGAGGCGTCCCACCTTTTCCCTTCTGGGCTCTCGCAGCCTCTCTGTAGTACTCCCACACATGGACTTTGAGCACACCTGCATCGGCACGAGGCTCGCTGCTCTGCGGGGACTGGGTCGTTCAGAGCAGCATTTTCCACCCGTGCTCGCCCCAAGTAGATTCCCCACAGCTGGCTACTGATGAGTTAGTGTTGAGGATGCTCTTTGAACCAGCCAAGCCTGGGCATGCAGGAAAGAAGGAAGTGGGCCGTGCGATGCAGCTTCGCCTGACAGGAACCAAGTTACGTGGTCGAAAGTGTCACCTGGACTTAGAGCTCCATACTGGTTATTCACCGGTACACTAGATGAGGATAAACACCTCTGCCCCTGGCGTGAGTGACAACTTTGCAAAGGCCCAGGGTGCTCAGCGCCCCGATTTGGCGAGACCCCCTCCCGCCTAAAGGCGGGTTTGGCAAGATCCTCCTCCCGCTATAACCGCCCCTCCCTTCGCACCCTCCCGCCTCAAGGCTGTAGGAAGGTCCCGCCTGTCGCCAATGA